CGTAGGGACCCCAACCCGAAAGCTGCCCTGAAATTCCAGCGCCAAGCTGCTTTGATCTTCGAAGGCCCTCAAGCTCCAGCAGGCTTTGAAGGCTCGGCTGCATGCAGATGTAGTCGGATGGGCTTCAGCGTTCGGGTTGGGGTTCAGGTTGCTTTAGCTGAACCCTAAACCCTACACCCTAAACCCTAAGCATCCGGCAGGGTTCAGGATTTAGGTTTTAAGTCTTGGGCCGAGGTGTGGCGAACATGGTTCGCGGATCCAGTCCCACTCCACGTGGTGATACATGTGCTGGTGCCTTCCTGCTATCGTTAGACTACTACATGCTTAAGAAGCCCCCGAAAAGAACCAGGATAACATGTAGGGATCATGATCTTTCATTGTTTTTGGGGTTCTCGAGCAAACAGCCAGGATGGCGCATTTACAGTAAAATAATTTGTGGGGTTCTTGAGCAAGCAGTAGTAGACGTGTACTGGTAGCCGACCGCAGATCCTGCACTGTTTGGAGGCTGCCTTTGCAGAGGAGCAATTCCAGAAACTTCTCAAGCTGGCGCAGGACGGTTAAACCCCTGCACCCTAAGACCCTAAACCCTAAACTCTAAACCCTAAACCCTAACGCCCTAAACTCTAAGCCCAAAACCCTAACGATTTTTGCAGCCGCTTGCGCACGGTTTCAGGGGCATCGTCAGGTCGGCTTGCCACATTCGTTACTACCATACAACCCCTTGGTACCTTGATATACCCCCCTAAATTAAGCCACTTATACAAGGGGCCCCTGCCCTCACCTCACCATTTTGTAAACAGGCCGAGGTACCCATACCCAGCACGTGAAACAACAACCTCCAGAGTCAACGAAACGGGGCTAGAGCGCTTGCGGACGCCCGCAGCCGAGCTGTAAAGTGCAATTGCGAGGAATGAATGAGTGAGCGTACCAGGGCGTACCAGGGCGTACCAATTTCCCCACCTTTTTAACATTTGGTTTAATCTGCTTATTTTGCGGAAGCAGCTGGCAAAACGCCGTTCACCTATTATTAGTTCCTTGCATTGCATTTCGGTTACGACTGTCGCGCATACGCTCTTTTCTTCCATCAGTACAGAGTACGCGAGCACACGAAATGAATGAAATGTAAGCATAAAATGGAGCGTTTTCTTTTTTACATTTCCGAACTTTGTTTTTAGAGGTTTAGACACGCTTTATCAAACCCTTCATATATAAAATATCCCCACCCTTCTATACCCCCTCTAGATGACCCTTATGTACAAATCAACCCTGCCCTTTTTCCCATTGTAGACCCAAAGAGCCCAAGACCCCTTCGGTCAAGAAAGTCTACCTTAACTCATACCAAGGATCCCAAGACACCACAAACACAATTTAGGGTATCTTCCTTACTTTAAGGGTATAGTAGAAGTTAAGGCCTGTTCCTTCCGTAAGGGGCACTGGGCTATTTGGGATGCTGTACCACGGAGGACAGGCACCCGAAGCGGGGACAGCGAGGGCATTCAGACCAAGCCGTGCGCTTAGGGAAGCTGTTCTTGAGGGTTCTTTTCTAGGGTTTAGGGTTTAGGGTTTAGGGTTTAGGGTTTAGGGTTTAGGGTTTAGGGTTTAGGGTTTAGGGTTTAGGGTTTAGGGTTTAGGGTTTAGGGTTTAGGGTTTCAGAGAGTTAACCCCTTAGAGAATCTTCAGCCCTAAACTCTTAGGGGTTTAAGGTTTAGGGGTTTAGGGGTTTAGAGGTTAAGGGGTAGAGGGGGTTAGAGGTTTAGGAGTTTAGGGTTTAGGGGCTTAAGGGTTTAGGGCTTTAGGGCTTGGGGTTTGCGGGGTGCATACCACAGACCCGAGTCTCATCACAGGCCCACAAGAGGCCATGAAGCCACCACAAGTTTCCGCCCGGAGAGCACCAAGACCCCCTTTTGTTTAGAGGGTCCTTGGGTCCTTTAGAAGGGGTGGGGGGGGTTCAGGAAATTTAGGGTTTCGGGTTTAGGGGCATGTAACCATGGTCCCCTAATAACATCCACACTCCTGAAGGCTCCCTAAGCTTCCCGAAGTAACTACCCCCTACCAAACCCCTTCCCTTAAGGACCCTATAGTCAATTCAGCAATCTGCCTGATTTGTTGTGACTTGTTGTTCCCCGACATACTTTATCTACGATTAAGAACCACCCAAAACACAGACACACTGTTCCTTTTTATCAGGGCAGTTTCCGGATTCTGTTTTTTCTTTGTGGGCGCTTAAGCAAGTAGTAGTTGAGAAGCATAACCCGAAACCCTAAACATACAAACCCCAACCCCAATATTCCTTACGGGATATCGCTGCTTCTTGTGCGCAGCCCACCACAATTTGCGACCCTAGGCTGCCTTCACTTTGCAACTGCAGAGTCTACTGGCCGCTCGCCCCCACGCTGGGGGGCGTCGTAGATTTCTCCGTTGGTTTTTAGGACATGTTTGATTTTCCTTACGCGGGTTTTATAAGGGATGATATATATGTATATATATATATATATATGTATATATAGTTTTTTTCAGAGGGTTTAAAGGCCAACCCAGCTTTAGAGGCTTAGGCTACTGCGTCTATGGGGCCTATTGGGGTTTGGGGGTTCGGTGTTAGGCTACCCAGTAGCTTCCTTCTGGACTTAAGACATAGACTGTCCGGAGAACGGGCCTTCGGGGTAAAGAGAGGGCTGCATCTCCAGGATTTCGGGATTGGGTCACAGAATAATCTTGGGGACCATGCCACAACTTGTGCTCAAAGAGCCCAAAACCCCACAATAGTACAATAAACAAGGAATATAGGAACATGCCTTAGATCAAGGATCCCTATCTAATACTCAGGTATATCCCTTGGCAATTAAGGGGTGCAACGAGCTTTCTGGGTAACCCTAAACCCTAAACCCTAAACCCCAAACCCCAAACCCTAAACCCTAAACCCTAAACCCTGAACCCTAAACCCTAAACCCTAAACCCTAAACCCTAAACCCTAAACCCTAAACCCTAAACCCTAAACCCTAACCCTAAACCCCAAACCCTAAACCCTAAACCCTAAAGGGTCTGGGCAACCATCCCGGCTTTGGGCTTTGAAATGGGTGCGAGAGACAAGGAGGAGCCGCTTCCCCGACTTGAAGAAGGTTTAGGGTTTCGGGTTTAGGGTTTAGGGTTTAGGGGTTCATACTACCAAATGGTCAAGAGCCCCCCCCCCCAAAAAAAAAAAAAATCAAACATTGCGTGGCACATCCCTCAGACACCATGAACCTCCCAAACACTTAAAGCCGTACCTAACTCCCCCACGCCCACTCGAATCCCCAAGAACCCAAGTCCCAACCATGATCCCCCTCCCTAGACCCAAAGACCCCCAACGGTACCATTTTTCCTTTCGGAGGTTCGGTTCCCTCATAAGCTCAGATAGCGGTTTATGGTTTGGAGTTTAGGGTTTAGGGGCTCAGATAGACAAAAGCAAGGTTTCATGTTTAATCCTGAATCCTGGAAGCCCTTGCGCCAGCTCCATGTGTACCGCACGGTGCTGCCACAGTCGCCGGGTATCCCAGAGCAGAGGGCGCTTTGTGATTGTCGGGCTTGGGGCAGAAACCTTCGAATCTAAGATCTCGTCCAGAGAATCCACACAAATCCACTCAGGCACCTCTCGGAAGCGCTAAACCCCAAACCCTAGACCCCAAGTCCCAAACCCAATAGGGTTTGGGGTTTGGGGTTTAGAGTTTAGGGTTTAGGGTTTAGGGTTTGGGGTTTTGGGGTTTGGGGTTTGGGGTTTAGGGTAAAAACCCTCCTCCTTGAGTTAGGGCTTGGGCCTCTCGGGCTTTGGGGCAGAAACTCAGAATTCAACCCCCCCCCCTGCCCCCCCTAAGATTAAATGCCCCCAGTATAGTTACACTATACTATCATATTAGGGGGAGGGGATTAATCCCTGAAAGGGTTCAGGAGTCACCGGATCCCATCTCCTGCATCTATCCGACATTCCCCCAGTACTGGATGAGGGTTTATGAGGTTTGTTTCTCGGGTTTATAAGGTTTTGTAGGATGTATACCGCTTGTAGGGTTTTTATAGGGTTTGTAGGTTTAGGCCGCTTACAGGGGTTTTACAGGGGTTACAGGCTTTGTAGAGGGTTGTATTATAGGGTTTATAGGTTGAGGGTTGATCGGTTGTTGTGGGGTATTGGCTGCTTCGCGTCCGCCCCTGGAGCCTTGGGAACACAGTGATCTCTGCAAATAAACTCGGGCAGCTTGTCCTGTCGTGCCTAAACCCTCAACCCTCAACCCTCAACCCTCAACCCTAAGCCTTAAGCCCTAAGCCCTAAACCCTAAACCCTAAACCCTAAACCCTAAACCCTAAACCCTTAATCCTAAACCCTAAACCCTAAACCCTAAACCCTAAACCCTAAACCCTAAACCCTAAACCTAGCCCCCAGACCGCCCGAACGCCCTACCGCCCTAAAGCACCGCCCAACAAAGCAACAGACCAAGGCCCTGGTGCCTCCAACCCGGCTGGGAGGCACAACCTTGAAGCGGCGGGGGGGGGGCTTAGGGTTTAGGGTTTAGGGTTTGGGATTTAGGATTTGGGGTTTAGGGTTTAGGGTTTGGGGTTTGGGATTTAAGATTTGGGGTTTAGGGTTTGGGGTTTGGGGTGCAGGGTTTGGGTTTTAGGCTTGAGTTGGGTTTCAGGATTTGGTGGTTCAGCGTATTTTCGGCTTAGGGTTTTCGAGGTTTCATGAATCCGGGGGCGGTGTTCACAAAGTACACTGGCATTTAAAAAAAAAATGCCGCGACCCGGACTCGAGCATAGCAAGCCCCTGATCCGTAAGCAGCCTCCATCCTAGCCAGCCCATACTCTTAGAATACTCAAGGTGAAGCCCCTTGCAAAAGCTGCAAAACCACCGAGGAACCCTAAACTCAACCCTGGCGCCCTAAACCTCAACCCATCTGAATGCCCACCAGCCCCTAAGCTCGGAAAGCCCCCCCCGCCTCACCCCTGACAGCTTCTGTCCTCAGGGCTACCGAGAA